CGAGCCGGCCGGGTGGGGAGCGAGGGGCGGGGACGGCGGGCGCCACAGGACGCCGCAGCGGAGGGGCGCGGAGCCGCCAGCCCAAGGCCAGGGCTGAGAGGCGGCGCCACCTCCGCGAGAGCGGCGTCCGGGAACAGGACGATGGCGGGGAGGTGAAGCGAAGTTCCCGGCGCTGACTCGGGCGTCGCCCGGCCGGCAGTTGCCCCTCGTGGCGGAGGCCGCTCCACCGCTCACCTTTCCGCTCCATGGTGAGACCGGTAACCGCCAAGCGCCTGCGCACTCGAGTGGCGGCGACGCTGGCTCCCGCCGCGGCCCAAATCCGAGCTCCCGCCCCCGTCCCCCGCGTAGGCCCCGCCCCCTCAGGCCTCCGCGCGCCTGCGCAGTGGGCGCGGCGCCTACCACCTGCGCCGAGGACCCTGGAAGCTTGCGTAGTTTTGGTTTAATTTGCCCCGCGGCAAAGCGGGCGCCGTGGAGGTAGGAGCTGCGCTGTCAACCCGGATTTGCCTCAATTTCCTGGCCTGCAAAATGGATTAACCAGGGGTGTGTCACACATACACACACGCGCGCGCGCGCGCGCGCCGCAACATCATCATTTAAAAGTAAGAATTTAGCCGGGTGTGGTGGTACAAGCCTTTAATCCCAGCACTCACAGACAGATGGATCTCCCGAGGTCACTGCCTGCCGGGTCTCCATAGTGAGTTCCAGGCCAGCTGGGGCTACAGGGAGACCCTTTCTCAAAAAACCTAAGTAAATATATGAATGAATGAATAAATAAATGAATAAATATTTAGAAGCTAAGAATTTATAACCTGGTTGTGGTGGCGTTTACCTTTAATCCTAGCATTCAGGAGGCAGATCTTTGAAAACAAGGTCAACCTGGTCTCCCTATAGCTGGGAGACCCTGTCTCAATCAATCAATCAATCATAAATAAATAATAAATAAATATAAAAAATAAATTTAGAAACTAAGAATTTATAACCTGGGTGTGGTGGCTTTTACCTTTAATCTCAGCACTCAAGAGGCAGAGACAGATCTCTGAAAACAAAGTCAACCTGGTCTACATACTGAGTTCCAGGCCCTCTGGGGCTATAGGAAGATGCTGTCTCAAGCAAAAAAAAACCCGTAAGAAACAAAAACCACACACATAAACTGGGCATATTGTCGCTCCTCTTCAATCCCAGCGCTCAGGAGGCAGAGGCAGGGGCAGAGGCCAGCTTGATCTACATAGAGTGTTCCAGGCTAGCCAGTTACACCATGAGACCCTGTCTCAAAACAACAGAGTAAAAACTTTTGAAGTGACTTTTCTAGTTCAGGGAAAAGCTATAAAGTGAGGATTTTTTCCTCACTTTGCCACTTTATCTTTTCAGTACATGTTCAGATTTATACTTTTCTGAGTGCATTTTCTTACTTGATGTTTATATCAATTTAAGGCCAAGGTAGTTATTATACCCATTACACCAAGAGACTGTGACTCGGAAGGATGTATATGCAAAGTCTGCATGTCCCAACCAATGATTCAGGCATCAAACCCTCATTGTAAACAGGATCATCGGTGTTTCTGAAATGGGTGGGGCAGTCGATCACGTCTATATGAACCCCAATATTTCTCAGTTCTACCTTTGGCACTCAAAAGCAGTCAGAAAACATAGACCGAGGATGTTTCCATGGAGATTTATTTATGGTACTGAAATTCGGATTTTTATATACTTTTTACATGTTACAAAACATTCTTCTTTTGATCTTTTTTCCCCAACCATTTCAATCATCCCTAATTCAGGCCTTAGCTTTCCAACGTCTGTTGTAAAGTTCAACCACGCATGTTTTAAAGATAGGGATGTGTTCTGAGAAATGGGTCATGAGGTGATTTTGTCATTGTGCAAGCATCAGAGAATGTACGTGCACAAAATATGGCCACCAAGTCACTAGGTGAACCAGGCGTTGATATTTGATGCCTGTAACCCCAGTGCTCAGGCAGGAGGACTGCTACAAGTTTGATACCACTCTGGGTTATAGAGTTCCAAGCCAGTCTGGGCCACAGAGTGAAACCCTGTCTCAAAACAACAACAACAAGGAATAGCTAGGTAATATAATCTGTGGGATTACTGTCTATGCACGCTGTTGTTGACTGAAACTTTGGGTTTCTTTGTTTATTTTGTGAGACAGGGTCTCACTATGTAGCCCTGGCTGGCCTGGAACTTGCTATGAAGACCAGACTGGCCTCGAACTCCCAGAGATCCACCTGCCTCTGCCTCTAGAATAGCTGAAACCTTTTAATGCAGCACCTGTCTGTACTCCTCAGTTAGACAGGGTGGGAGCTCTGAATACCCTTGTTCTACAAGAGTGAGACCCAGGCTAAGGAGATGGCTGAGTGGGTAAAGTGTTTGTCCCTGGCAAGCATGAGAAATGGTATTTAGATCCCCAGAACCTATGTAAATGCTGGGTGGCTATAGCAGTCTGCTGGAGACGGGAGCTCAAAGGGCAGTCTGGCCAGCTGGGTGAGCTGGCAAGCTCTGGGTTCAGTGACAGAGCCTGCTTCAATGACCAAAACGGAGAACAATCAAGGAAGACACCCTCCATACACATGTCCACACACATGTGAATGTGTATACATAGATGCATACACACATATACATACAAAAGAAGAAGTAGGACTCTAGTTGGGAAGACTGCCAAGTCATCAATTAGCTGGGAAAGAGCAGAAATCAAGCCTAGAGGCCCGGGCAGGCCCAACTGAGCAAAGTAGTTAAGTCAGTTCAACCAGGGAGGAGGCAGTTTTTGTTGTGGGTGTTATGAAACTTGTAGGATTTCCATAGGCAGGGAAGGAGAATGTCAGGCATTCCTGAATGAGAAAAATCCATTGAGCAAAAAGGCCCAGACTGGAAACTTATAGGTGGGGACTAGGGTCAATAATGATGGGAGGTATGAATTAGACAGGGCTGGAAAGGTGGGTTTGCAAATTGGAAATTTAGATCACTAATAGTTGTTGCGTGGAACTTGAATGATAGCATTTCTGGGCTTATTGTGAAAGAGGTCAGCACCTGTTGGCCAAGGAAAATTGCTTTCTACTTTAAACTTAAGAACCAAAGGATAACTGGGGCAGAAAGTACGTACAGCACAGGAGTCTGAGGACTATGCTAGCTCAGGAACCCCAGAGTCATTTAGTAAGGATTATGACTAGGAAAAATCCCAGAACTGAGAAGGAATTTCCCATCACAAAGTAAATTATTAGGGTAGAGACTCTGCCTAGGTTTCCAATGTGTGGTGCTTAGTAGGTATGCTAGTATTTGCCTAATGCAATAATAAATGAGCTAGAGTTTATGAAACACATCAGGGTAAGAGAGAGAAACATTGAGAGAAGCGATATGAGAATCACACAAAAATCCAAATTGGGCCCTGGAGAGGTAACTCAATAAAGTGCTTGCCACACAGTCGTGAGCACCTGAGTTCCATCTCCAGCACCAGCTATAAACCTGCAATGCCAGTGATGGGGAGGTGAAGACAGGAGGGGACTCCTGGTTGCTGACCAGCCAGCCTGGCCTAATCGATGAACTCTGGGTCCCAGTGTGAGACCCTGTCTGAAAAAAGCCAAGGTGTGGGCTGGAGAGATGGCTCAGTGGTTAAGAGAACTAGTTACTCTTGCAGAGGACCCAAGTTGGGTTGGGTGGTTCACAACCACCTATAACTCCAGCTCCAGGGGATCTGATGCCTTCTTCTGGCCTCTGAGATAATCTGCATACACATTCACATGCTAACATGCACACGCACACATACATATACATAAATAAAATATTGATCCGGGTGTGGTGGCGCATGCCTTTGATCACAGCACTAGGGAGGCCGAGGCAGGTGGGTCTCTGTAAATTCAAGGCCAGCCTGGTCTAAGTAGTGAGTTCTAGGCCAGCTGGGGCTACAGGGAGACCCTGTCTCAAA